ACGGTTCAAGGGATCCGGTCTTAGGCCCTTAGCTCCCAGAGGCCCCAATATCCCCTAATTGAGGAATAAACTAACCTTAAATAATAATAGGGATAAAACTAAAAATTTCATGTCTATTCCTTAATTCATTCCCTGAAACCTTTAATTGAACCCTAAGGTCTATTCCTCAATTACGGGAACTTGGAGCCCAGAACATCATGGGGCCCGCGCCGTGGAGCGCAGGAAGCCCCAGGACGTGCACCAGGAGCTGGATCGAAAGACAGAACTAAGGGATGCCTGTAATTCAATAAGATCTAGAAAAGTTCCTTTAAAGGGATCTATAGGGTTTAAAGGAAGCTGGATCGAAGGGGTCCCAAGTACTGTTCACAAGGACGCTTAGGGGGTAGTGGGGAGGGGGGGAGGGTAGGGGACTATACTTCCTTAAATAAGCCTTATTAAATCCTTATAGTAGGTATGAAGGCCCCCTCAAGACAGGGTTCCCTTTAATAGGATCTATAAGGGTTCCTTTAAAAAAATTCCATAGGGTTTAGGGGTTTAAGGATTTGATCGAAAGAATGAACCAAGGGTTCCCTTTAATGTAATACGATTTTTATAAGGGTTCCTTTGAAGTTACGGGATACATCCCCAAATTGAATGTGCCATCCTCCCAGCCAGCCCAACAAAAGGTGCCCGGCATTCCCGCGACGAACCCATCCGTACGGCCAGCACTTGAAGGTCGGCACAGTCACTTCACAGGCCTGAAGAAATTCGAATGCCCGAAGTGTGTCCATCGGAACCTGTCCACACAGAGCCTTGACCAGCAATCGATTGCATGTTGCAGCATCGCACACCGCCCTCCACGGTGGTATGTTCCCGTGAGCTACTGTTGCAGCTTGCAAGCAATCGCTGATCAACTGCATCATGTCCTGTGCTGAGGATATGCCGGCTTCACGTGGAATCACGCACATGTCCATAGCGAACTGGTTCGTGTCCGCTCGCTTCAAGACCACGGACAATGAAAGCTTGGCCAGCTTCTCCTTCGGCAAGTCAACCCGCAGCTTGTGGTTTCGTCAAACAATACCCAAGGTCTCGTGCTGCCAACCCTGAGACGTCGTCTCTCCGAGTGGCGTAGCTTGGAAGAGCTCGTCATCCTCCTCCATCGGCATTGCTGGCTTGCCTGCCTCGGCCAAGGTACAAAGGACTCTTCCGGGTGAAGACAAGAATGCTACAGCCAGTTCCTACTTCCTCACTACTACCACCACCACCACCACCACCACCACCACCACCACCACCACCACCACCACCACCACCACCACGTAAGGGCTGGGGCAAGGTGTCCTCAAATGCATCAAAGCGGGGGAGCTTGGCAGGGCTGACACAGAAGGTCCAGGCCAGAAAGAGTTTATCCGGGGATCCCGAAACTAAGGATTCTACAGTTCAAACACTAAGGGATCATAACGCGCTATTTCGTAGGCTGTGCAGGTCAGCATATAGGAACACGATTAAGATACCTTGGGTCTTCATTGAGGTTCCTTATACAAATCCTAATATATTGGGGGTTATAAGGCCAGGGTTTCTTGATCAGGTTCCTACATTAGGATGGAGGACTTCAGGTGTTCAGGCGGTCGGGGATCGGCGAGCTTGGAGGGTTTCCCATCCTAAACCGCAAACGCCCTACTTGTCGGGTATCATGGGGAACTACAGGTTAACCTTACTAGTTATATAGGGATTGTATTGGGACTACACTACCCAAAAAAGGTTACGGGCTACCTACTCTACTACTAGGCATCCTAGACCGCAAACGCACAACACTACAATTAGACCCAAGAGTAACCCAGGAATAAGAAGAGTGCCCTGTTTGGTTTAAAAGGGGCATATAAGGGAACCTGAACCCTTAAAAAGGTCCTAGACAAACCCTAGAGCCAATAAGCCCTAAACCGTACAGTAAACATAAACCTCAATTCAGGGTTCTTGGTTTAACCCTAAGGGTCCAACGCACCCAATAATTATGCAGGTTATATACTATTTTGGAAAGTATATGATAATCCTAGTTGTTGGGTAGCATGGGGAACTAAAGGTCAACTTTTTTGGTTATATAGGGATTATAGGGACTATACTACCCAAAAAAGGTTAAAGGTTGCCTACTCTACTACTAAGTAATTAGGTACTTCGGTGGATGATATAAACCCTGCATTACCCATAATAAGGCATATACCATAATTCCCATGGCTTAGGGTCCTTAAGGTCATGCAGGATTTATATCATCAACCGTTGCACCCTTGAGGTTACAGTGGGGCATCGGGGCTGTAGTGTCCAACGCAGGAGATGGGCTTCATGGTTTAGGGTGTACCTTAACCCGGAATAACCTACCCTTTAATAAGGACTTATATAAGGAAATCATAATAAGGAACCTTAAAAAGGTAGGTTCTTGAGGGTTAAGGTAGGGTTTAGGGTTTAGGGCTCATGGCTCTAGGTTCTTGGGCTTCAGAGTTTGGGGCCATCCTCCACCCTGAGCAGGTCCGGTTGAAGCCGCGAGTTGAAGGGTCTGAGGGGTTTGGGGATCAGGGTTTGCGGGTGTAGGGTTTGAGCATAGGGATGAATGCAAGGATGCACATCGGGATGAAGGGCGATACCTGCTGATGACGGCGAGGGGTTGATGATGAGGATCGTGCTGTTGCCCCTAGTGAGGTTGGGAAGCTCAGGGTTCAGGGTGAGATAATTTAGGGTGATGATGGCAGTGCTAAGGGTGGAAGTGGTGCTGGGGTGGTAACTCTAATGGTGATCTGAACCTGACACACTCCTACGCAGTCTAACCGTCTAGGACCTGGCAACAGCGGCAACAGCTGTACGACTCGCAATTTGGACCCTACAATTCCGGGACATAAAATTAAAGCAGCGTGATTAAACCGCTTTGAGGGCGTGCTGCCACGAACTAGTCCGACCTCCATACTGCCTGCAACTCTGCTAGGTTACCTTTACGGTCTTGTAAAAAGGGGATCTATAAGGGCACCTGTAAGGGGTTCATGTGAAAGATCTAGTGGGTTCTAGGTTGGCCTTGATCACCTCCATGTGTCCAGCAGCAGCTGCCAGGTGCAAAGCCTTTCTCGTCGAGGCTTGAAGGATTCAGAACCCTGGCACCATGTCCATTATAAGCTAGGGGTCCCCATTAAGGGTCCCTCCTTTTCTTCTTGGATTGAAGGAACTCTGAGGGGCATATTTGGGAGTTTCCGAAAATAGGGGACCCGAATATAGTACCCTAAATAGTATAAGGACCCCAGAATAAGGTACCCCTACTTTTAGAAAACTCCAATGTGGGTGGGCGGGTGGGGGATAGCATGTGCAGTCCAAGGTGATGTTGTCCATATCAAACATAATATGTCGAAATGGACATATACACGAATGCACAAGTATGCGTCTTTGCCAAGGCAAGCGATTGCATAGACATGTGCAGATCATCGGAAAAGAGACATGTTCTGGATACTTCAGATCCGTGAGGCGTCTGCATCTTGTCACTATAGTTCCTTTACTTCGGGGGTGTGCTACACGTTCCCTTTTCGGATACTGAGTATCAAGCCCAGTTCGCGCGAATCACAGGAGAGTCCATGATAATGCTACTAGAAACGCAAGGAAACCACACGATGAAATAACCCGTACTGGAGGAGGAACCCACTAACAATCGAGTTTTGAGTAGGTTTGCCTGGTCTTCCGCATGAGTGCAGAAAGGCCGCAGTACGCCCATCGTTGTCAATCTCCACCACAGAGACGTGGCGGGACAGCCTAAACGGTTGATGATGTAAATCCTGCATAACCCAAAATAAGGAATATACCATAATTCCCATAGTTTAGGGCCAAAGTTTAGGGTCCTTAAGTCAATGCAGGATTTATATCATCAGCCTAAAGCACAACACCATCATCAACTGAGAGTCGGGGATCGGGGCTTGTTCCCAAAGAGCCCAATACCCCGTCATTAAGGAATATGCCTCAATTAGAAGGGGCTTCATACTATGAAAAAAGCTATATTCCTTGATTAAGGGATATTGGGTTCTCTGGGTTAAAGGTACAGGAATACGAATAAGTGTGCAAAGCCCGTACAACAGCACCCAAGGAACCTCCTAAACTCTAAAACCTCAAACCTAAACCCGACACAGCAGCTGTAGGATCAGAGGGGGTGGCCTCGGTAAGGGTTTTGGTACAGCTTTGCGTGAATGGCTCTGATAGGAGTTCCAGATGGGCTCAAGAGTTATGGACAGTGGTGGGGCTTACCGGGGTTAGGGTTTAGGGCTTTGGGCTAAGGGCTTGCCGGGGCTCCCCCAAGCAACCTTCCAGGATTTAGTTAAGAGCTTTGGCACTTTAGCACTTGCCATGACAATCTAACAAAGAGATCCTCTCACACTCAGTCTGCTAACGGGTCTTTCGGGCGAGTATAGGACAGGGCGTTTGGCACGTCGAATTATCAAGATTGGTGTGTCGAGGATTTCGCTTGCAACTGCTTAAACTCACCGAAAACTACCCCGATTTAACCCTCTTCTTCAAATACCAGGCACTCAAAAAGTTCAATCTTTCTACGACAGACCCCGACTAACCAGAAATCATGAAGTTCTCACATACATAAGTGCATGCATACATTCATTAGTTCATACATACGTACATACATACATACATGTATATCATCCATACGTACATACATATATACATACATACATACATGTATATCAGGTCGTAGGACGTAGGAGTACAATCAGCAGCAACCCTCATAATCTAAACACATGGTCCAAATGGCTTCGGGTTACGGGTTCATGGAATAACGAGCAAGAGACTTGAACACGGTTGTAGCGTGTGCAAACAGCGTAAGTGTTCAACAATGCTGGACTTTCAGCTGACCCAGACCTGCCATGGTGAAAGTCTCAAAACGGCTGCAAATTCTTCAGCTGCCCTTCTCAACCCTTCTGGCACGACCGAGGAAGCAGAACCGACATAGAAGCAAAAGCCGCACTGTGAGGCTTGGAAGCGGCACAGACTCTTCAGCTATTGCTGATCACTGCGTAGCCGCCATTGATAGCATTACCGCCCCAGGTGATGACAGACCCACTGCCAAGAACGGCAGCAAACGCACTTGCAGTGGATTGGATGTGCTGCACATCCCTCAGTTGATGCTGCACAGCACTGATGTCGCCACCATCTTGAGGGTCACCCCAGGCCACGACAGATCCATCGACAAGGATGGCAGCAAAGGCGGCTGCAGTGGCTTGGAGATGTTGAACATGCTTCAGTTGATCCTGCACAGTACTGCTGTCACCGCCATAGTTTGCATCGCCCCAGGTGACAACAGATCCGTCATCAAGAACTGCAGCATAAGCATTGCCAGATGACACGACCTGCTGCACATTCTTCAGCTGATCCTGCACAGCGCTACTGTCACCGCCATCTTCAGCATCACCCCAGGTCAGCACAGATCCATCAAACAGCATGGCGGCAAAAGAGCGATGAGAAGCTTGGATCTGCCGCGCATTACGTAGCTGGTCCTGCACAGTGCTGCTGTCACCACCATAGTTGCCAGAACCCCAAGTCACAACCGATCCGTCGCCCACAATGGCAGCGAAAGCGCGGATAGAGGCTTGGATTTGCTGCACAGTCTTTAGCTGACCCTGCACAGCACTACTGTCACCACCATAACAGGCAGCACCCCATGTCACGACGGAACCATCACCAGTAATGGCAGCAAAAGCAGCACCTGATGCCTGGATCTGGCACACATTCTTCAGCTGTTGCTGCACATCACTGCTGTCGCCGCCATCGTCAGCGCTACCCCAGGACATGACAGACCCGTCACCCAGAATGGCAGCAAAAGCACTTCCGGTGGATTGGATTTGCTGCACATCCTTCAACTGATCCTGAACAGCACTGCTGTCACCACCAGCTTCAGGATCACCCCAGGTCAGGACGGATCCATCGCCAAGAATGGCAGCAAAAGCAAAATCAGTGGCTTGGATTCCTTGCACATTCTGCAGAAGATGCTGCACATCACTACTGTCACTGCCAGCTGCAGGATCACCCCAGGTCACAACGGACCCGTTGCCAAGAATGGCAGCAAAAGCTCCGCAACTGACCTGGATCTGATCCACATTCTCCAGTTGATCCAGCACGGCAGTGCTGTCATCGCTCCAGCCTTCTTTAATGCCCCAAATCACGACGGATTTGTCGCTGAGGATGGCAGCAAAAGCGAAGCTAGAGGCTTGAACTTGAACTGTATTGCATATTTGCAATGTCAGTGCATCACCGTCTTGCACGCTAGACAGCTTTATCGGCACAGATTCATCCAGGATGCTTCCAAATGAGTTCACCAGCCGAGCTTTGCCCACTCCAAATGTGGTCTGCGCCCGAAGCCTCAAGGTTCGAAGTATGGGCCCCTAAAGGACCTTAACCTACCAAAACCTACTTTTTTGTAGGGTCCCTATAAACTCCATGTTAGGGCTTATAATAAGAACCTACAAAAAAAGTGGGGTTTGGTAGTTTAAGGGAGGTTCTAGGGACCTTTAAGAGTCTATGTAGGGTATATAGTAGGTATTTAGGGATCCCAAGGTTAAGGGCCCATACTAGGGGCCCATGGTGTCAACGGTTGAGAAGCCTCAATGCTTCAACCTTCTCCTCCAGTCCGACTCGCACAGTAGCTGTCTTGCCACTGAGCAAACCAACTTCCACCCTGACGGACATGATGTCGGAGCCTTCTGATGACTTGGGGTGCGTTTTGGGGGAGATTATATGATGCTATACCTATATTCGGTGCCATATGGGGCGAGTCGGAATATGTTTTGGGGCCCCTATACTAAGGATCCTACTATCTAGGGTGTTGTATTCGGGTCCCCTATGTTTGGAAACTCCCATATAGTCTTGGCTGACTGCTGAACCCCTCCTACAAGTTAAACTTTTAGCCTCCTTATTACAGTTCATATAGAAACCAAAAAAGTTAAAGTCTAAAGAGCCAACCAGAAGAAAGCCAAGTAGTTTAAGTAGACTGTAAAAGTATGGTAAACCGTGTCGTCAGAGCCCGAGTGCTGCCGGCTTGGCGATTGGGACGGACAGTTTTGTGCCACACCTGAATGGGTTTAGGGTTTAGGGTTCCTGAACCCTGAATAACTAGACCCAAGAGTAACCTAGGAATAAAAAGGGTGCCCTTTTTGGTTTAAAGGGGCATATAAGGGAACCTGAACCCTTAAAAAGGGAATAAGGGCCTACTCCAGGTCCTAGATAACCTACCTTTTCGAGGACTGGATATCATGACAAGGAACCCTAAAAGAAGGCTTCATAGGGTCCAGGTAAGCTTACATCCTGAGAAAACCCACTTGACCCGTCAAGCTCTCTAAAACCTACATTGCCTTCGTTTGTTCGATGTCGTGACCTGATGCCAAAGTGGCTCTCTGCGCCGAAGAAACTACAATGGCAACGTCTACTGTCGGGGCCTTTATCATTGGGACAGAGTTTGGGGGCCACTATACTCTAACTGTAACAAGGAACACACAAAGTAGTATTGGTAATTATCTATACCCCCTTAGAGCCATAATAAAAATATTGTTTCTAATATTCTCTTGGGTTTTATATGAACAAAAATCAAACATAAATCCTAAGGAGACTATAGTTATTTACGCCCCTATTGTACACGGCCCAGATGCGGAGCGAACCATGGCGGAGGTTAGCAGGAATCGAAGTGAACAGCGGCATCACCGCACGAAACTAATACTTAGGGGCCGGGGTACCCTAGCCCGAAAAGGTTAACCTTCTCTACTATGGTAGGATTATAGAAACCGCAAAAGGTTTAAGGTTATACCTACTCAGCTACTAAGAATATGCAGCGAAACTCCAGGTACACAAACACTACCTATTTCGGCGGGAGGTCACTCAACCACAACTCCAGACCAAAATCTTAACGGTAGGTTTCGCAAATAGGCTCATATGTGAAGCCTCCGTCAAACCCAAAACAAAGCCCTAACAGCGGCTGTAAAGCCCGATATAACACTGAAGTCTCTTACGCACAGCCCCTAAACCCTGAACCCCGAAGCCCTAAACCCGAAACCCTCAAACCCTAAACCCACTGAGGAACGAACAGCCATTGGACTGCACGAAGATGGCCCTTGAGACACGCTAGCCTGAACGTTGGAAGCTAGTGCTTGAACTCCCAAGTACCTATGTAGGGCTTTTAGGGTATCTACTTTTCTATACAACAGATCCAAACCATGAAACTAGGTATCCCAAAAAAGGGGTAGGGTATGAGCCTCTAGGTAAACCCTAAACCTCAAGTCATAAAAAAGGGTCAGAATGGAATCGATGACACCTAAGCCCAATGCAGACGAGAAGGGCCGGCAAACTGAGAAAACCGCTAAACCCCCTAGTCCACTGCCCCTAAGGCTCCATGTACCCATATAGTATATGCTGCTTAGGCCTTGAAGTACCTATATAGGGACCCTTTTAAGGCCTAAGTATCTACTATGAAGCTACCATGGACCCTTAATACCCTAAACCCTATAGAACCCTTATAGAACCCCTTTAAAGGAACCCTTAAAGGAGCCTTTGGGTGCCCTCGCCTGCAGGAGCACGCAGTGTGGAATTCAGGGTGTAGGGCTCCGGGGCTCGGACCCGGAAGTAGGCATCTATAGGGTTCCTTAAAGGGATCTATGGGGTTTAGGGTTTAGGGTCTAGTTTGGGAGTATAATATAGCCCCACCCTAGGACCTAGAGTAGGCCCTTATTCCCTTTCTTACGGTTTAGGTTCCCTTAGAACCCCCTTTAAACCAAAAAGGGCACCCTTTTAATTCCTAGGTTACTCTTAGGTCTAGGTGTTTAAGGTAAGTGTAGCAGAACTCAATGAATGAGAGCAACAAGGACGACAAGTAGTCTGACACCAACACAGATACGACATGATACGGCCACCAAAGACGACAGAATTGCCGCACATTACGATGCAGTATACTTGTTTACACAGAAGCCTGCATAAAACAAAAACAAAAACAGGGTCTTGTGTGTGTGGGGGTTGGGGGACGTGACTCAAGCAATCATCAGTATGTATGTGACTCCTTCAACCATCATTAACCAATTAATCCATAGATCGAAGTCCTAGTCTAGGCGGGTCCACCTAGCACGTTGCTTTTGTTGCAGTTGTGCCTTGCAAGAACTCCGCAGGGGTGCACGCCCTGGTGCTTGGGCCACATGTTTCGGCTTTGCAGGAAGCCCACGTTCTGCTTTTATCACTCAAACCGAATCAAGAAGTAGCTACAAAGTTCTTCTGTCCCTGGATGTGGTATTCAATACTAACGTGTTTTGGACAAGGTCCAGCCAAGGTCCTGAAATTCAAGAAACCGCCATCCTAAAACCTTGAAAGCCCCACATAAAACAGTTTGCTGGCTAGCCCTGAGGCTCCATGTACCCATATAGCATATGCTTAGGCCTTAAAGTACCTATATAGGGACCAAATCAAGGCCTAAGTATCTACTATATGGGTACATGGAGCCTTAGGGTTAGATGCAAGCGGCATCAGCGGCGTTCGGCCCCGACGATCCCGGTGCTCGAGGTTGATACCTCCGTCGATAGGAGAAGCGCAGTGAAGCAAACATGCTAACCATAATGGCCCCAGTGAGGATCAATAAAGAATCATAAGGGGCTCAGCAAATTGACAACTTGAAAGGTTTAGAATTTAAAGTTTAGATTGTAGCGCGTGGTCGGGATCTAGACTTTTGTACGGGTGTGTTGAATATTCAGACATCTTTGATTTTGATACTAAGCCCTTACGGTAGGCCTCACAGTAACCCTTATAGACAGCTTATAAGAACCCTTTTAAGGGTTCTAATTAGTAAACCCTAAACCCCTATATAAGAGGAAGGGGCAATCTTAAACTTCTGTTCAGCGCATAAGGTTTAGGGTTTAGGGGTTGAGGGATTAGGGAGTTGTTTTTTTCTCAATGAGGGCTTTACAGTACTCAACAGGGCTCGACAAGGGCAAAGTTTACAACTCAAGAAGCCGCCGCCACAACCTCAATATGCATGATCCAAGCGCTCTACATGGCTTTGGGCTGACTTATGGCTAAGCATGTTGGGTGCACTTCTAGGTTCATGAGACTTAGCATCTAGGGATTCCTAGGGTTCTCTTTAAAGGGCACGATATAGAGCTCCATAATAGGGTTCCCTTTCGGGGTTTAGGGTTCAGGGCCTACTTCAAGGTTCATATGGGACTTAGCAACTATAGAGTCATAAACACAAGGTAAGTATGCTTGTCATAACTTATAACACCATTTGGGGACGGAGAACTGTACTTACTAAGTCACCTAAACCTTCAGACTCTATAAAAACCCTTCGAGCACCCTTATAGAAACCCTCCCAGCCTCCTTATGGAGTCTTTTAAGGAGCCCTTTAAGTTGCTAAGTACCATGAACCTCCAAGTATCCTACATGAGCTGGCCTTGTAGGTAGAGCCACTCCATGGTCGCGGCCTCAGCAAGGCTGCCGTCTGCATGTTGATAGCGGTTTAGGGTTCAGGGGTTCAGGGGGTTCCGGGATTCAGGGGTTTAGGGTTTAGGCACTTGGGTGTTCCGGGGTTTGGGGTTCAGGGCTTCGGGTTTGGAAATTATACTACTACTACTACTACTACCACCACCACCACGACTACTACTACTACTACTACTACTACTACTACTACTACTACTACTTCTACTACTACTACTACTACTACTACTACTACTACTACTACTACTACTACTACTACTAGTCCGACGACGACGACCACAACTACGACTGCTAGTATGCAGTAAAAGGCTCTTGATAGATACATATGAACAACCAGTAACAAGTAACGATTACCGAGCTACCAGTGACCAACATCCAGTATCTCGTGGCATGTACCTTCAGAGTAAGTATACAGCAGGCGAAGGTCGTGACTGAGATCATGGGGATGAGTCAGAGGAGGATGATGGCGGAGGGGAGGGCTGAGGCTTTACTTGCTGGCTCTTCGTGACGAATGGGCTATAGGAACCCTAGATCCCTTCCTCCGTTCCCTACTGACGACCAGGGCGTCTGCTCTCTTCCTGCTTGCTGTTAGCACTAACATCCTGCACGCCATGTGACACTGCTCAAAGGTTCATGGGACTCAGTACCCAGGGTTGTGCATAAGGCAACTATACTTATACTTACTTGTAACCCCTGTTCAGGTACTTATAACTGCACTGTACTTAGTGCCATGAACCACCAGGATTTCAGCCAGAGGACATCGACCTACACATAAACCCTGAAGAAACTTGGTTGGGTTCTTGCTCAGGAGCTGTTCTATAAGTGGCCGAAAGGGACTGCGATAGACTCGGATGGAACGTGAACAACTCGCCTTCCTTCTTATGGTAAATCCCTAAGGGTCCATGTGCCCTATATACTTGGCCCTTACAATGTACTCCGTATTTCGGTTCCCGAGGGCCCAAGTATACACTATATAAGTACATGGACCATTAAACCCTAAACCCAAAGACATGTTCACTTGCAAGTGTTTGCCTAAACCTTTATGGAAAACCCTCGAAGAAAGCTCGAAGGAGGAACATACAAAGGAATCCTCATATTGATATGGGTACATGGGCTCATACCCTACCCCTTTTTCAAGATACATAGTTTTATGGTGTGTATGGAAAAAATAGGTACCCTAAAACAGGAGTGGGGTATGAGCCTACAGGTAGGGAGAGTTAAGCAGGATCTGCAAAGAGTGAGTCGGCTCCGGGATGCGACCCGCTTTGGCAACTTTCTGAGCCCGTAAACCCAAATTCCGGAGACGCTTCAGGGTCCCTGATGGTTCCTCTAAGGGATCGGGGTTTAGGGTTTAGGGTTGATTTCAACAGCCCCCAAGATTAATTAAAGTCTGGGCTCTATGTTTAACAATTAGGGAAATTAAAAGAAATTAGTTTCCCCAAATGGATACCTAGTAAACGCAAGACTGGAAGCCTTGGCAGCCTGAACTTGAAAGATGACAAGCCTACACCCAACAAGCCCAATACCCTAAACCCAGTCGGGAGTCAACTCATATGGGTGGTTGTCAAAATTGGGGGGTCCCTTGCATGAATGACGTGAAGGCTCTATATAGGGAAACGTACAAATGAGGTCGCGAAAGACTGTCAGGGCATGACTGCAGCGATAAGTGGAAATTTTGGCCTTGGGCATGACCTGCAATCCAATTCCTGCCGTAACCCCGCGTGGCGGGCAAGCTCATGAATTCCAGAAGTTAGGGCTTAGGGTTTCGGGTTTAGTTGCCCTTCCGTCGACACCTTAAACCCCAATCCCAAAAAGAAATGACCAGCTCAGAATTGCGGTCAGCAGCCCTACACCCAAAACCACCTGCACTCCAGATTCCCGCTTGCCACTAGTGAATTGTGCCGAGGTGCATCGTTCCTCGGTGCGGGTTTCAGCTACAAGCTTGAAACAAGCGGGGGATTACGGGCTGAAGCATGTTTCCCACGGGTCTTAGGACACGGTCAGGGTCGCGGCAGTAGACGATCTATACTCAAGGTGGTTCAGACCCCGTTACAGGACCTCTAAGAGCCCAATCCCAAAACCTTACAAACTAAACCCTGAGCCCTATGCACCCTAAACCCTTGCAAACCATCCCGATCGGAAAGTATCATTATGGTCGCAGGCCCTTGAACAGCATCCTAATCCTGGTTTCGGG